TGTGACCGGCCTTTATGAAAGTTGCTTAATCTCCGCTGTTTAGAGCGAAAACACTAAGTCGAATAACTTTACAAAAACACAATAATAAAACTCAATTATAACAAAGAGGTTAATAAAGTAATGATAAACTTAATAAATGGTAATATTCCATCACTTCATTTTATCAAGTCAAATGAGAAATTAACGTTGACTGAAAACGATTTCTATTCTTCTTTAATAGATGGATTTACTAGTTTATTAATTTACTTTATAAATTTATGTTGATGCCATTATTTTATTAATATAATTTATGGGGAAATTTCAAAACAATATAACCACTGGCGAAATACAAAAAAAATAAAATATATAAGCCGTTCCAATTTCAAAAAATAAACATCAAAAAAGTTTAATAACAAAATATTTCTCGTTTTAATAGGAAAAAAGAGAAACTTGCCAACGTTTAGCGAAGGCGAATGAAAAAGGTCGGAAAATTATTAAAATATTTCCTAGCGGAGTTGGACAGTCTTTGTTCGTTACTTCCACGAATTTTTACTCGCCCCCCTCCCCGACTTGTTCAAAGTTTAATATCGAGTTTTCACGGTTCAAACAAAAAGTGACGATGAAACTGTACCATCCCACCTGGATATTTTTATCTGTACTCTTACAGACAGGCAAAGGTGTGGAATGAGTAAATCATAATTCTTACTTTTTAAAAACGTCTTTCATCCCCTTTACGTTATTTATATGAATTATGTTTGATTTGAATCTTCAGAAGATTATTGACGCAGTAGTTTATTTCAGTCAGCAACTTCCACCACATTGGGCTTGAGAGTCTTGGAAGCTTTGTATTTCAGCAGCATTAATAGGCTGATGATTATTTTATGATATTAAGGCATGAGAAATATCAGCTTTCCCAGCTCTTTAAAGATAAGAAATGTAATAGGAAAGTGGTGCTCTGGTAAAAGAAAGCGTTGTCAATTTGTATGTGCGAAAAATGTAACAGTCAGTAATATTTAAAACGACAATCATTAAAACACAAAGTTGAAATAAAACAAAACATGAATTCCTTTTTTCAAAATGTTTTGATTTGTCCCAATAAAACAAATTGCAATCCTCCATCCTTATCACTTCGTTCGTTTTAAATTTTAAAACAAAAGAAAATGGACTGCCTTCAAATGTTTTTCGCGCCTATTGTTGTTCTCACGCGAAGGGAGTCATTGATGGCGCGAAGAATAATGATCAATATAAAAATAATTAAAAACACAAATAATAGGCAGATTCACAATGTTTCTATATTTAAATCTAGAATAAGATAAACAAATTGGAATGCGATCTGAAATTAAGTTAGTAATGAACATGGTCTGGTTTGATGACTGCCATCGAATCAGATACGCGGTTGCTAAATATGCCTCTCATAAATAGGCTCATCTCAGCGAGCGGTGAAGAGGGCTATGCTCGAAGTCTTCCTACGAGATTGAGTAAGGAATGAGGAGATTCGGAGACGAACGAACGAAAAGTACGGCAAACCAATACGGAGCGAAGAGTTTCTGAAGTCACAATGGTCAGGGCACGCTTGTAGGACAGATGGCCGTTAGGGCAGTAAAGTTTTCGAGAGGCGACCATAATCTGGGAAATAAAGTAGGCAGGTCTCCCACAATATGAACTAAGGAAGGTAACGATCGCCGGCAAGTGTTGGATGACGACCGCGTGCTTTCGTCGTGTAGATTTTTTTGGAAGGACTTCGCCCAACAGTGGGCGTTATACGGCTAATATAATTAGATAATTAAAATTACACACATGGAAGTATTAACAGGTGTAAACAACAATATACATAGGTATTAAAAGTAAAGAATTTTAATACGTTCGCATACTTTTGTAATATAATATTTATATTCAAGCTTTAGACTCCTGTGGTTTTCCTTACGATATCTCGTATATAAAAATAGAATTTATTTCAGTAAATAATTTGAATCTGTTCACTTTAGTGTATGTTTAATAACAGTAAAAAAAGATATGATCAAATTTATTTTTACATTTTGAAAAAATGATAGTATTTTCCATTAGACATTTTGTAGTATTGTTATATCTTAGCCATCTCTAAGGTCCTCAGTATGTATCCCGGTTAAGTTAATGTAGAAAATGAACTTTTCCGTATTGTTTAGGAACTGGGTGTTGTGGTACCTTCGCTTTCTCAGGGGCTTTTGCGACTGATCTTGAAATCTAAGTAATGTTATATGATGTTGTTTAATTTCGTATATAAAATATTATAAATAATAAAACATAAAAAAAACTTTGAATATTTGGGATACGGCGTGATGATATGGATAGATAGAAAAAAATGGACGCCTTTAAAAAAAATGCGCGGTTGGATGAGTATGTATTCTGGTACTTTTAAAGTTTATATGGACTTAGTTTTGTACTTATTTTTTTTTTACACAAAAACAAAACATTTCACACTCTATTTTGTTTTTGACACTTTTGTTTAACATCAAATAATTATAAAGAACGTATTTGATTTGAATTCGAATTTCAAAATTCCATTGAATCCAATTCTAAGGTATAAAATGTTCCAGCGTTCTTTATAAATGCACAATCATAAAGTTTTTGAATCATCTGACAATTGAATATTTCAACTACTAGGATATTTTATCAAAAAGAAGCGTGATATAAGTAATATATCTACTAGTAATGTAAATAAACCATATTTCAGTGAGTTTTATCAAATGCAAACTAGGCAAAATGTAAAAGTGCTCATTAATTCAACCTTCCGAAGAGGTAACATGTGTTTATTATGATTGAATTATTGAATATATTTCATATTTGAGAACCAGTAGTTTTCCATTGGTTCTTTTTTTTTCATTCGAAAACATCTATAAATTTTCTTTTCGAAATTAATATTTTTTATAAAAGTGTTATTTTATGATTAATTTCAAATAAGTATCATCCATCCTAAGAAAGTATTATTTATGACTGAATCTAAATCTTAAAATATGTTTTTTGACGTAATAGATTTGTACATAAATGATTTATTTTTGTTTTTAATAATTTTGCACTTAAATATAACACAAATACCTACTAAATAGTATCAACGCGTTTAATTATTGGTTGCATTTTTGTAACACTATGTATTATAAATAATAAATTTTATAAAATAAACAGTAAAATAACGTAGCTAAAACGAGAACTATTTAAAATTAAATTATATAAACATTTCTATTCCCAAGCACGTTCGAAAATAGAACATTTCGAATTCCATTTTTAAAAATCAATATTTATTGTCAGTTGTCGAATACTATAAAAAGGGACTGTCATGTATGGACACGGCGAGGTGGCAATTACGACAATTAAAAAACTCATTACGCACTCGCAGTCGACAATCGTCGCCTGCATGTAGTCCAATGTTTAATTATAAGGTACCTTATTGACTGTTTGCCTTTCGTGAGAAAAAACGTTTGATGCGTGGGAAGCTACAGGAGGCTTTTCTATTTTTGACTTCGGAACTTTTTAGTATATTGTGGAAATTGAAGAATCGATTTCGTTCAATAAATTTTATTTCTTTTATAAATAAACAGTTTCGTTTTATTTACATATATAAAATCTTAGACAGGCAGGTGCAATCAAGGTTAGTAATGAATGTCAAATTTTTGCAGTAGCTTGCTTATTCACTTTACAGCAGAATTTACTGATGAATGATGATTAATTTTATTTCAACAAAAACTCAAAAGTAACCATTTCTTGCAAAACATTTGTAAGTTATCGTAGCATATTTTTTCATAATATTATTGCTCATGTAGTAATATTTCTTGGATCTTCAAGATTTATTAAGAAAACTGAAAGGGTAATAATATTACTGATGAATTCACATATAAAAATAAACATTTGCATGAAAACGACGTGCCGCTTCAAAAATTCCAACAAATTATACAATCGAATCGTAATGCGCATAACAATCGTCCACCTCCATTGGCTAGTTCGGAAGTGGAAAAACACGTGAATTTTTTTCTAAGCCACGTAGAATACGTTGCGTTGTATGCCACGCTCCGATTGGCCGGCCAGCAGGCGGCCGCCGGCCATTGGCTGATTTTTTTCCTACTTTTCACGTTTATTTTTTCCGTAGAAAAGCACCGCCAATGGTAGACACGTAGTTTTTTAATTGCTTAAATTGTTTATTCTTAATCTATTTGTAGCACGTTAGGAGAGCTATGTGAAAATCTAGATAGCATTTTTATGTGTTTTATTCGTTATGCCACCGTTTGTTAAAGTAGAGACTCTTATATTTGAATACTTATTTGGATAAATGTTTTTTAACCTAAGGAACTATGAACATTCCTTTTAAATCAGTAATAATGTTACTGAAGCTTATAATGATAATAAATTGCAATCATTTCAGTAATCAGAAAACACCTTATACTGTATTGGAAACTTTTTCAAATAGTATTCCTTATTTCATGAGTTTCAATTTAATTTTAGAATGGCGTTTAAATTGTAATTTGTCAATAATTCAATGGCGCCATTAAATGCAGTAATTTACTTTTGGAACGTGTCGTTTATGAGTGTTCGATTTAAATTAACAGTTGAATAGTTGATCATTTATATTCAATCATGCGATGTAACATTTGAAAACTTCATTTAAACTTAACCAACTATTTAAAAGAAAGTAAATTTTTATAGAAACTATTTATAAATTTCTCAGACCGGTGTAGTATCAATGTTATTAATTAAAAATTATCTTAGGAGAACCTTATGTATCTTATAGAGGTTACGGTTTTTTTATTTGTTTCTATAAAAAGATAGTATAAAGTAATTTAAATATCGAGTTATTTTTAATTAAATATCGAGTATGTTATAAACTCTTTGGTATGCTCTGTTCACCTTTCCTTTACGGAAAAATATTACCACCTATTTGGTACGGGTAGGTTAAGTTTTAAATTTGGAACACAATTCAGATAATTTCGGTTTTTAATCAAAAGAAAAATAAAAAAAAATGATATGATTGCAAATTTCAAAAATGGAACACTAACCTGTATGCAATCTGGTATGTTGTTGAACGTGGCTCAGCTGTTTGAACCTCCTGTCACAGTACGAGCATTTATAAGGTTTCTCTCCGGTGTGAACTCTGATGTGCTGGACGAGCTGGTGGTTCGAGCTGAACGATTTCAAGCACTGCTGGCATTGGTGCGGCTTAACTTCACCCCCTAGCCCACGCTGGAGTTCACGAGCGTGCATCTGCATTGCGTTCTTGTGCATAAAGATCTGGAACAAGAAATGGCGTGTGAGACGTGAATGCAATTGATTTTAATTTTAATTATTAGAAGATAATTTCAAAAAATAAATTTGATTGTTACTTTTATTCGTTAGATGTTGGAAGATTGAATTTAGAAGCTTTTCATTTTATGAATGTTATTTTTTAACTATTTTAAATTGTAAATTAATTACGACTATATGTTTTGTGTACACTTCTTGCTTATGATAAAAGTGTGTTATTTTTAGACGCAAAGTTGTTATTGATATTGAAGAAATATAGCGTTTTGTAGCTATAACAGTACAGCTTGTTTTGAATTTGAATGACTATAAAATAAGTTTCAATTTAAAATTATTAAAAAGAATCCTGTGAGCGGTGTTTGTACCAAGATAGACATCGTTAGTTGTAAATACTTGTTGATATCAAACAAACGGTGAACAGTTCAAATAGTTAGATACACGAATTTAAATCTCGTCAGAAGCTAAATAAATAGAAAGACTTGAATTCCATTGCCTTTAGTTGAATTAGTATTCAAAATTAACGTTCCAAAAAGGTTACGTATTTAAAATTCTTTTCGTATATAAACAACGATTCTATTTCCAAAAAAAAATTTTATTTAAATATCAGCCGACACTATTGTTAAATAAAATAAGCGCGAATCTTTTTCAACGGTGTTCCGAATTAAACGATATCATCGAGCGAGCCATCTGTCGGAAGTATTATAAATATGCATACATGTATATACCTAACGTAGTACATCTATATGAGTGTCGGGTTACAACTCGGACGCCCTATAATTCCGCCAAAGAAATTGCCTTCTAAGCAAGATAAGCAAAGTTATACGAACTTAAAATTATTTATCACCTCACCGTACGATGTATTAGGTCTTAGTTTCATTGTTGCGAAGGTGTTTGGCATTAACAATGTTGATTTGCATCCAACAGAGACAGGAAATCGTTTATATAAAAGAGTAAACTTATATTTTGCTATCCAATAGTGGAACACGAGGCAAAAATAAGATAATGTGTTATAAAATTTGTATATATTATTTTCAGTTTAGGTGGATATTAAAGTAGAATTTAATATTCAGCTCCAGATCAATAAATATATATTATGAGGTTGATTTATGTGATAATAGTGAGATTCTAACCCTAAAAAATATGTTGTATGACACTGCATTTCAGCGCACTAAAAGTAACTCCTACTACCTACTCCTATACAGATTCTTAACTCAAGCAAGAATGCTTTATTTTAATTATGACATCGAAATAATAAATTGAAAATTCGAAATTTAAATCTTAAAAACGCTTTTATAACACAAAACAACCGAATAGTTAAACCTCTTTAGTCGGAATGAAATTAAAAATCGAAAAAGTTTGTCATAATGTTATTTTTTCCTGCATCATTTGTAAGTCAAGATGCATATTGTTTTCAGTCTTATTGCACGTATAGTGTTACTTAGACTAAATTGCGAAGTTTCGTGCACTGCAAAACACTTTAGAAGTATGTCAAAGTTTTATCAATAACGGTTGGCATGTATAAATCGTTTAATCTCAGGATAATCTCGCGCTGTATACTTTATACTTGCACGTTGGTGTATATATTGAAAACCCTTCGTTTCTGCGATTGCAAAGAAACGACTTGAGGCACGCAACCGTACACTGATGGCCGTACTTCAACTTTTTAGATTTGATAGATGTTATTGAATAATTTAATATAAAATATATACCTTGAGTACAGAAGATATAGTTTTTATTCATTTCAATTATCTTATTTTAATAAATCGAAATAAAACCTAGCACGTGTCCTATGGTCAACTTTATCTTCAATCAAAATCGGTGCACTGACTTTGACGTGAAAACGTAAGACACATACTGAGTTACTTTCATATTTATAATATACTAGTTTTCTGTCAGTGGCCTCGCCCACGTGTACTTGTATTAGTTGGTTAAAATAGTTGGTTAAATAAAAACCTTCCTTTTGAATCATCCTATCTATTAAAAAAACCCTATCAAAATCCGTTGCGTAGGTATAAAGATCTAAGTATTGAAGTAGTAATTAAAAATAATTACCTCGAGAAGAAAATTAGACGGTGGATACTCCCACATGGTAAATATAGACAAAACTCAGTTTGAAATAACTAATAATAATTGTTACAATGAAAAGAGCATCTACATCTGAGAAGCGACTAAATGATACTAAAAGGCATTAATAATTGATTTTTGTTCGCGTTCTTTTCAGGAAGGAAAACAAACACTAAAAATAACAACGACACCGTTTTGTTTGAAAAATATTATTAACTTTAATTTATTACTGTTTTATATCAGAACGCTTGCTTCCTTGTTTATTCGTAAAATGATTTTTTTATCACACTAACTGATAAAGAAGTATTTATATTAGTTATTTTACTATTTTGTTGATTTTCGAATTTAATTCGAGTAGTTAAAAATAACCAAAAACTAGCCATTTTCTTTTCAACCACTTAAGAAATATATCGAAACGTTAATAAATGCTAATATTAAAATATAAAATTATAATACGCGTTTAATAAATGAAGTAATTTAAATAATGTTATATGGATACTAACCCGAAGAAAAGAAGAAACTATTCAAAAAATCTTGTATTTTATTTCAATTACATTGATTTAACTATGCAAAATAGATTATTTTCAATACAATTTTTTTTTTCGTTTTAAATATCGAACACCACTTTTCATGCTCGCCAGTATAACCCTTTCACGCGTGTTAGAAAGTGGAACTAGACTTTCGGATCACGCAACGATGAAATTGCAAAGAATTTATGCTTCTGATGCGGTATGACGTGGTGTCTTAGATTCTATACCCGGAAGGGTATAAATATTCGAATCGGCAGTTCGCGAAGTCCATGATCATTTTGGCCATTATATAATTTGATGTAATGTTATATTATTATTTGGAAATAGTTTATTTATGATTATTAATGTATCTCAAGAAAACACTGCCTAATTATAAGATTACTACATTTACATCTTTGCCCACATGGATTATAACCTATGACCATTATTCCCACTAGATTTTTTTTAAAATTGGTTAATTACGTTCGGAGGATTCAATCGAAACAAATAACCAATCAAATCTTTCCTCTTTTATATTACTATAGACTACCATTGTATTTCGAACCGAACGGAAAGATAGAATTCAAATGAATTGAAAAGAGGCACGTACCAAAATAATACACAAAAGGAAAATCATAATCTTCTTAACATCCTAGAAAAAAATAGCACGTTCTAAATAACCCACTCAATGGTTGCACAATAAAAAGGATGATCTCCGTACGGGCCGGAGGTAGCGGTAAAAGTCGCGATTTCCCCATGAAAAAAAAAAACCAAAGCACCCCCGTAACAAGCTGACGTTCTGCCCCGTAGGAGTGAAACCGACACTGAATAAAAATGAAGAGTGTGCGTTACACCGGCGGGACAACATCGAGTTAGAGAATTAAATACATACGATGATATTTTAGATAAAAAATATAAAAGAATTACGTTAACAAACAAAATCAGTTTTTTTTTATCTTGTGTCTTGAAATGGAGAAAGACATTATCAACAATTTCTTTTTTTATTCACAAAATCAATTTTATCTGGTATGGTTATAGAATCACTATACAAGTACATATTTCCAAATTAGTAATTTTACAAACCAAAACTACCCATGGAAAATATTTATAAAAATTCTAATTTTTTAACACTAACTTTTCCTTTGCTAAGCTACTCAAATCGTTCAATTTTTAATCCCAAGGTTCATTTTTCTTTATAAACATAACGTACATGCAATAATGGATCGAATATGCGTACTAGTTTTATTAATTTATTGCATCAGATACATTATAAAATAATTATTAACAATCTAGTACAAAAAAGTGTTAACAGCCTCGCTTAGCAAACGGACACGCTCGGACAACCCCTCAGGGTGTAATTAGCGGCATAAAAAATTGAGCGCTTTCATAAAAAAAATCACCATGAAAAATGCACAGTACATTTTGTGCAAATTGTTCCTGAGCCCCGGCCATTATGGGTCTATTAAGAAAAATGACCGCCCTCCGTGGCGGGCGTTTAAAACAAGATTTTTTACTGTTACAACACAGTTTCTTTAACGGGGCGCGGATGTAAAATGTAACTTTTTTTATTAACTGGTTGGTGTTAAAAAAAGTTTTCATATCTTCCAGTGTTTTAATTGAACTTCGTAAGCAGGAGTGAAAACTCTTTTGAATAAACTTTTATAATGAATTTTAGTGGGAGTTTAGGACTAAATCAAATTATTAATATCACATTGATTGTGATCAAATAAATTATATCTATTTTATTTGTCTAACTAACAGCCTGTTGCACTAATATCCATATCCATTAAAATTTTCATTAGTTTAAAGCGACATTACACATACAAATTTGACCTTCATTAAAGCTTAAAAACGTGATTAAACCTTAATGAACGTTTGTGCAACTGACCGTAAATACAGTCTTCGGACTTAAAATACAAATTGAAAATATATGTATATATTTATATATATATATATATGTGTGTGTGTGTGTGTGTGTGTGTGTGTGTATTTTCTGTAATTAAATGTATAATTTTTCGTCATATGTGCAGCGACCCTAATAGATAACAGGAAATCGGTTTAATCAAACCTGCCAATCAAGGATGTCAATAAATTATAAAATACATTGACTATTTACGGTATTGTGTTAACCTGAAATAATTATTTATCTAAGAAAATTTTAGTATTTATCCTCCTTATTCGTAAAAATTTCTTAGATAAATATTAGTATTTATCTAAGAAATTTTTACGAATAGGGAGAATGGGCCATCACCCACCACGCGGTCCCATTGCGGAATGGTGGGTGTCAACCAATTGACATGCAGCCGGAATCAACGTACCATCCGATGCACGGAAGAGTCTGAGATATTAAATTTTTGGTCACCCATCGTATGACCGGCCAATAAAAAACCACCAACA